CTCTCTCTCTCTCTCTCTCTCTCTCTCTCTCTCTCTCTCACACACACACACACACACACACACACACACACACACACACGTGTTGTTTCCTCCTGGGTCCTTCTTTTCTCCAGGGACAAGCCCCCTGCCCGCCCCTTCTTCAGGACAACGTAGGTGCTCACCTCAGTCTTGACTCCTGGGTCTAACAAGGCCTGTCTCCATTCTCAATGCTTCCTCCAGACCAAAAGTTCTCTAAGAGCTGACCAAGGGAGTCCTGACCCCCATCCAGCTGTGAGGGTGCAGAATTGGGGCTTGTGTTTTCCAGACTGTCTCCCTTCATGTGGCCCAGCATCATGACAGGCACAGTGGGGGAGTCCCTGAAAGTGCAGTGTCAGTACAAGGAGGAACACAAGACTAACGACAAATACTGGTGCAGAGTTTCACTACCACTATGTGAAGAGATTGTCAGCACTAGAGCCTCAAAAGAAGCGTGTCCATCAGGGACCATCCAGCCACCCTCATCTTCACAATGACCTTGGAGAACCTCACCCTGGAAGATGCAGGCACCTGCATATGTGGAGTGGATATACTGCTTTTTGATGACTCCTTGAGGGAGATCCATCCCTCCTTGGGGATGGATGACTTCTTCAGGGTTGTGGTGTCCGTGGTCCCAGGTAAGCCCTCTTCATGTCAGGGCACCCTGAGTCCAGGTAAGTCATTCCCTCATGAAAGAAGGAAGCAGATACAATAGCATGGTGAGCTTGGTGAATCAGTGACTCAGGCCACAGAGAGTGTGAGTCCACGTGTGCCTTTGTGAGAGCATGGTTGGTATGTGTGATAGTGTATGTACACCAATACATGTGTGTGCATGTACACACAATCCCAATGTGAAACCTGACTTCTTTAGAAACTTACTTTCTATCACATTTATCTATCTATCTATCTATCTATCTATCTATCTATCTATCTATCTATCTATCTATCTATCTATCTGGTTAGTTACTTGGACTAGCCCTGGTGTGTGTCCATCAGAGAACTGGCACTTAGTTCTCCCTCCACAGTGTGGTCCTGGGGCTCAAACTCAGGTCTTCAGGCTTGGCAAACAGAGACTTTCCCCACCGAGCTCTCTCAGCAGCCCCTGTAGGAGACTCTCTGTGTGTACCACGTGACAGTCTCAGACCTAGAGACAAGCCCTGAACCACTAGCTCTTTGTGACTTCCTGCCCTG